GCTTGACCGAGCCGCTGACGGGGAACGGCGAGGCGGGCGTGCCGATGACGGAAGCCTCAGTGTTGAGACTCACCTTCTGCTCCCCTGGAGAGTAACCATTGGATGGAAAACCCCAATTTAAATTCAGTCTGCAATGAGCAAACACTGAGACCTTCAGGAAATGCCGATGAGGCCATGAAAATAGGAACGTAGTTTGGTGGTCATACCTAAGGACTAATACCAAAAACAATTAATCGAAAAAGAAACGGCTAACCCATTTCTTGCTGCTGGCCACAATCAAACTTATCTCATTACTCTACCTACTTTGGTACTCTATAAATGCAGCTTGTCAAACAGTGTTAACCGTGTCATAATGCGGACACTGGAAACGTGACGCTAATTTAGAAGTAGCTTGAACCATCTCAGAAAATGCCGGAAATTCTATCTACCCAAAAAAATTGTACACAAAAACTTGATCTTAACTGACAATCATAAGTATGTGCCTGCCAGTTTCAATACGGGCGATTCACAAAAGTGCGCCTAGAAGAGTCTGCAATGCATTGGCCAATCATGATGCACGAAATCTGATTGACCTAACACGTGTTTGGACAGGGTCAACAGATGCCTGTATTGCTTTATGTCGAGCTAGGCAGATTTATTCCGAACAGAAAATAACAGTTTACATGAATGATCTTTTAACAGGAAAAATCAATTAGGTTGTCGCAGCAGCTCTTCACAATAAACGCTCACAACGGCTTGTAATATCATGCTCATTCATAAAAAGTACTGGTCCTGGCTTGCATTAGACAAGGGCCGAAGTTTTAACCCTTTTCTGAGCCAATCTATGTTACATTCTGACATTTGACCGACTTACAGAAGTTTGGTGCCCACATAAACCTCTTGGAGTACTGTGCTCCATGGACGAATGGCTTCAGAGTCAGCAGGGCCTTCCGGGCCACTTTGAATCTACAAAAGGCAAAATCGTTCGATTACTTTCCGGACAAATTAGTTTCTGACTTCAGTACATCAGGCCTGTCAATTTTTGCTCCAGCGAAGATTTCAGAAATGGCTCTGGTAAGAAGCAAGGCCATTTGAGAATGAAGCACTTGATATCAAGCCAGATCAGACAAACTCAGCGCTGACTTAGTCAGCAGATCTGACCTCGCTGATGTGTTGCTGAGCTGTTAGACCTGACCTCACTTGTGTGTTGCTGTTCTCAACTGACCTACGATGTACTTTATTCGGATCATGCACTGTTCTGTTGAAATACAACACTGGCTTGTTGGGCTACTTAAAGTTATCCTGGGTACTTGCGACTTACAAGTTCTTCTTGCACTTCTGGTAGTTGGAGGCCAGACTCTCCAGGTGAGTGTAGACAAAACTAGCCACCTGCTTGGACTTGTCATTCTTCAGGTCGCTGATGATAGAGAAGACGATATCTGTCTCAGGCTCAGTGTCCATGACGATGACGTAGGCAGCGATGCGGACCTGGTGGTCTTCATCCATGTTCTCGATCAAGGGCATCAGAAGAGGCACAATCTGGGGTACAGATGGCACAGGAAACAAAACTAAAAACGCTGAAGACCCTCAAGATGGAACTCATGCAATACATCCGGAGATGGACTATGACAACAACTGACATCAATGTAACACTTGCACTGGGGTGTGCAGCACAAACTCCATCAGTTTGTCTAATAATTATTAGAAACGAAAATATCTGACCAGACGCTGCAAAATGAGTCTTAAGGCCGTATTCCCAGTTATTCTCAGTAAACTGAGTTGCCTGTTCTGACATATTAATCAGTTTGGTATCCTAATGAAATGTTCATTGAGTGGGTGAAAACTGCAAAGAGTTCCTAGTGATTAACACTGTGCAAGATTATTTCAAAGGCCTTTAACTCAACGGTGGTTCCGGTGACTTGCAACTCCTTTTTTTTGGATGATGCAGGTATAACGAGTAGCAAAATAAACAAGAGTCCCTCTTTTCATCCAACGTATGATTAATACTTACTTAAAGGAAAGGGAAGGAGCTGAGCAAAATACAGGGGCGAGGCCCACACACTTACTCTCTCTGGCACAACCTTAGCCAGGCGACGCAGGGAGTAGATGGCCTGCACGCGCAGGTCCACATCTTCCACGTTCGAATTGATGATCTCTCTAATGTGATCGATGGAGTCCGTCTCGGCATCAGTGGTCTTCTTCATGACCAGGCCAGTGTTGCCGATGGCCTTGAGGCACATACGCTTGTCCTCTTCGGGCCGTGAGGGGTCAATGCCGGCGAGAAGGTTCTGTTGAAGGGAACAATGTTTAAAATTTAAAGGTTAGAGAGGCAAATTTAAACCTGCACTTTCTCAGGAAAATGCAAACTACCGTTGTCTTTGGCTTGACCCTTCCCATTGCGATGATTTGTAGAAGTTAAATGACTTAGCTGCATCCAGGTATGACACACATTTAAGAAGGCATGGCGCCACACCTAAGCAGTGAATTCTCTCACTGCTGGACAGGGAAACGGTGGAATATGAAAGTAACCAAATCTGAGTATTTACTAGGAGTCATTCCTGGACCTGGTTTGCAGTGAGGTGAAGAAGAAGCTCACAACCATTTGGAGAGGGGTTGGGGGGAGGTGGTACAAGCTCTTACCATTGAATATTCTTGTTTCTTGTCCTCGGAGCAGATCTGGTTGACCTTGCAAGCCTTGTGGACCAAAGAGCCAAAGCTCAGCCAGCATGTCTTCCTCACTTGCTGGTCAGCGTTGGGTCCGTTGACCACAGGGCCCCGGCACAGACCCTGAGGGAGACAAGGAGGAGCGATGAAATGGGGGTAAAATTCCCAGAGCAAATCATTGGGAGCATGCCTGCGAAACACACCTGTCTTTTCACTGTGCTATCAGTACTAGCCAAGGAAAGAGTTTTTCAACAAAACGTTTTGATAAACAGAAAGAACTACCCGTTCTACCCAAGGACTTTCCCTCATCACATCACCTACCAGGACATGATCCAGGATCTCCTCTGTCGGTTCATTGATCAGGGCGATGGTGCTCAGGATCTGACAGGCCTCCTCACACTCGTAGGTCCTCTTGCCGATCTCACTTGTCAAAATCTCCACGGACTTGTCGTTCTCCACCTGAACGAGGGCATCCAGGAGAATTTGCCTGCCGAAAAGGAAAAGCTTATATCAATGCGGGAAGCACATATACGCCTGTGGAACTAAGAGACTCCACCCACTATGAAGATGACTATGGGCAGACGCTCACGGCATATAACCTCTATTTATGCAGCACTGACACGAAGCCCCCAGGGCTTTGTGCACATGTAAACTCAAATGCATGTATACATATATTGAACCATCTTTTAGGACAACACAAAGAGAGAGAAAATGTGGACATGGGGCGACTGTTGGGGAGCAACTTACTTCCTTTCTTTCATCTCCTTAGAGTCACTGACAAACTTCTTGCCGAGCCTGTCAAAGATGTTCTGGAGCTCCAGGGGGCCAAACTTTTTCAGCTTCTTGACCAGGAGGATGAAGTTCTTGGGAGCTTCTTCAGTGATCCCATCCTTCTTGATGTTGTCTTGGATTTTCTGGAGGTAGGTCTTCACCTAGAGCAGGTGATGTGTTTGTACATTAAAAAAAAAACTGGTGCAGGCAGGATAAACTTATAATGGAAGTAATGAGGTGGACTCTTTGAATTTTGGAATTTTACTTGGTGGTTTATGAACATAAATTTGCAACTGAGATTAATTTATTTTAACATGAGTTCCCTTTGGCTAATTTTAGGCATTGGCAAAACTTTCCCTTCAAAATTCATTCCAAATACCACAAACACAACTGGAAAAAGAGCTTTTCAAATTAGAAATATGTAACAATACACAAAAACGAATCCACCCCTTCCAAAAGCATTGCAGGTTCCTTTTTAAGAGACAATGCCTTGATTGGCATTTTTTTCATTCTCTGACGGGCTTCACTTGGTCATGAAAATAAAGACCACAATTTAACCATGACAGTTAAAGCCTCTCTTGCTCTACCAGCACACTGAATTACCTCCCTCCTCATTTGTCTTTGAAAGTGGCTGTTTGAGCATTACCTTGGTACGGATCTGACTCATGTGGGGTCCATCTTCTTCAGTCCGCTCATGGTCTTCTTCCGAGTCATGCTCGTGCTTCTTCCATGCCTCAAAGACAAACGTCAGGTCCTCTGCCTGGTCCTTGGGGTTCTCGACGTCCGGAATGAACTCATCCTGGGGTATCTCTCTGGTGCTCTTCAGGACGAAAGTTTGACTGAGCGAAAAAGAAACCAGAAGCATGTTAAAATGTTGCTGGCTGTCCACTGTCAGCCATTTCAAGTCAGACAACACTTCAAGCAAACATTTTTGAGAAAAAAATTCATGGAAAAGGTTCATCCTTCCATCACCTAAAGTATCTAAACAGGTAAGATATGTAAAAGTAACTGACTGGTGCTGAAAAGCTTGACATAGGATTTTTTTTTTAACAAATCCTACGGTCAGCATCAAAAAAGCTCTCAACTTCAAAATGCTCAATCGAAAACTGCATCGACGGCTTACTTGACGAATGCGACAGCCTTCCCACCCTTCTGTCCAAATGGCTGGAAGATGTGCTTGCCTTCAGCCACAACGGCGTCAATGACAAACTTGCTGTGGTCCTTGAGGCTGATGCTGTAACGGACCTACAAAGAGCATTGACAATGATATCTAAAAATGTAGACTCATGCACAGCAGAGGGGTGCACAAGTGCTTACAGTTGACATGGAGATCATGGGAAACTCTGAGACCAGATACTATGACTGTGATAAGTACAGCTTGAGGTGGCAATATTTGGACGTCAGATGAGTCTCGGGATCATTTGATGGCTTGCCGATCGGGGGTCAAGAATTTCATCTTCTCATAAAACAAACCCACTTGAGAGATTTTACCCAATAGCCAGTTAATGTCAGAGCTTCTTACCTGAATTCTCTCTCTGAAATTCTTCAAAATTGCAATTTATTTAGGACGCAACCAAGCTCAACGCATCAGTAAGTCAACCACAGAAATGAGGCAGTCATCCGGCCTCAAGTGGTTAAGGATTTGTTTGTATTTTTAATAAGGTTTTAAAACATGCCAGAAACCATCAGCTTCAAGTCTCAATTGTGGAATTTTCTACAATACTGTAATTCTCTTGTTCGACAAAAACAAAAAACCCAAGAAACAAAACAAAAATAAACAAAAACACTACAAATCAAATGCCAATTCCTCGAAGAAAGGAGGGAAAGCAAGACAGAAACATAGATAAAGCCAATGGAGCAGGAGAAGGAAAGTGGCTCAATTCCTACATACCTGGCTGAGGCACTTCAAGAGCTCCTCCTTCTTCTCATTGGGTTTTCGGAACTCGCTGAAGGGCTCTGTGGCAGGGCTAGTCTCCCAGCCCTTACATTTCTCACACTTCCTACTGGAGAGCAAGGACAGTTTGCTGCGCTGGGTGCGCTGCTGGCATTCCAGGAGGTCCCGAGTCTTGGTGATGTTCAGGACAAAGCGTTGGGCTGTCGAAACACAAAGTGTGTGTGGAAAAGTCAAGAAAATTGTCAACTGTTTACTTTGATATGTTACAACATCCATCCAGACTATTAGTGGTAAGACAATGCCACAAATGGTGACAGATGGGGGTCACCTTGGGGAAATTTACTGTCATACAGAACCTGGTCCCTCAATTAATAAATGAACTTCGAGACAATTCAGGAATAATAACGAGAAATATAATTGTTGAAAATTGCGGCAAAAAACGAGGAAAAACGTTAGGGAAAAAAAGAAAAAGGAATCTATTTGTGTTATAACAAAGAATTGATAAGTTGGAATGTGACCGTTTCTAGAGGATTTGCTTGTGTGTATACCAGGAATGAGAAAATTTTCGGGTATTTTTAAAAACGCCATTTGCACATTGTTAGGTCGGGTTACAGTTTTACAACTCTGATAGGTTTGAGCTTGAGCACCAGGTGCACAATGCTGGTGGGCATCATATGTCGGCCCAGTCTTTCACTCTGTGGCTAGTATGAGGGGGTACTAACGCACACAGCCTACAGCCTTAGGTAAGCATGTCAAGTGAAATTCATCCCACTGACGTGGGGCCACTCAACAGACCTGTAATAACGACCCCCGGGGAAACTTACGCTGGACTTCTTTGTTAATGATGTGAGGCCTGGAATCCGAGATCTTGACTTTATACACTGACTCACAGTAGCCAGCGATGCCCCTCTGCAAAAAAATGCAAAAAAAAAAAAAAAACAACATTCAATCAAAAAATCAGACAGAATGAAAAATTGAAATCTTGTTACATCAAAACCCTGAACTGTGCTCACAACATAAAATTACCTTTTTGAACTTTTAAGAGCTAGTGTCTGCAATGCCTTTTATAAAATGATATTGAATTTTAGCGTTCCACATTCATCTACCATGCAACATTTTCTCATAATTTCTTCTTCAAAGGCTACATTCAGTTCCGCATACCGTTTCCTTCATTTCAGCCATTTCACATTGATTTGAATGGACAGACTCACCTCCATCACACGGTAGTGTTTTTTCTGGTGAAGAATGTTACTCTGTAACAACAATACACAACAAACATAAATGAAAAGTTTTTCAATCAACTTAAAAGAATTCACAGATTGAAGAGCTCATTTCATTGAAGTCTCCATCTGTTCCTGAAAACAACAGAATCAATCAAATCAATTTCAAATGTTTTACAGATGATAAAAAATTTATCTTCACTGTTGAGCTGCTTAAGATTACAGTAATTCAACCATCATCTTCCTACACAAACATTTTTTCTATCCAGTAGTGCAGTTGTTGTTGAGTCTGTTGTAAATCCCTGCAAGTCCATCACAAGTCATTCAGTTTTAAAGTCACAAGCCATTCAAATGAACTCTGACACTGAAAATGCAACCCTTTGCCCTTGTTCAACTTGCTACTTGTGACTGGACTCAACTACGACACTGTCCAGTAATCAAAGAATTGAACAATTGGTGGATCAATGATCAATCAACTCATCAAACCATAAGTTGGACTTCTTACATGCTAGTTAGGCCAACTCAGTGATTCACACACAATCACTCAATAGAGCACATGTAGATTTCAATCTGTCAGTCATCCATTTTCTTAAATCAATCAATCTGTCTAACTACTAAGTTCCCCGTATCAACTCACAGGCTGTGTGCGCTGTGTTTCAGGCTCGTTCAAGTCATCTGTGCCCTGGATGTTGACAAGCATCAGTTCCAACACCCCCTTCTTGATATTGGAGGCCCAGACAGGCTCATTCTGAGAGATCACGATGTGGAAAACCTACAATTTTGCAAAGAAAAGAGCGTCACAATATATTAGTTTATAGAATAAATAATCCAGGTTTTGACCAAAATGTTGCAGAGTTTAGAAAAGGCCAATACATGTAGCTGTTATCAATATGCACTGAAATTCTAGGCTATCAATACTGGACAAAGTCATTGTGAGAAATGAGCTAACTCCGTATGAAGAAATTTTTACTTGCAGTTTTTTTCCTGATGTGAAACACTGACAGAAGCAGTGTTGCTCATACATAATCTTCTTTCAAGTCTGAAGTTTCACCCAAAATGTTAGAAAACTAAAATATGAACTTGAACTTTGAAGATTTTTCAAAACAATAACAAACGCCTTTTGAAAATGTAAAATTTTTTCTACAACACATTAAGTGACCTGCGCCCTGAATCTCCAAACACCAACCTTTCCATTCAAGTATCTAAATTCAATCGGTTTGACCAGCTGCTCCAGGAGAGGCGTTTCAATCTCCTGCGGCAGACGCTGCAGTTTGTCCACAGTCAGCTGCTTAGCTGGGTCCTCAGTCTCTGTCTGAATCTTGGCCAATTGAACTTGTTCAAACTGTTCAATAAAAACAAACGATAAAATGAAAATCCCAAGATAAACGAGTCTTATAATTTAAAGAATCTGATGCTGCAATCTAAGTAGAGTAAACCAAGTAATTTTCAGAATAAAGAGAGAATATCACACAAATTATTCAAAGCAAAAGACAGGCATTGATACAAATTCAAGCACAAAACTTTTTCCCTCAATCGTGAAAAAAAAATGCTTTGAAAATATGTTTTATTCCACTCAGAAACTCGTAAGGAATCACAGAATGAACTTTACCCTCAGCAGGCATTTGTTGTCAGCCATCATGTGGATGTGTACATCCGTGATGATCTTGATGCCTGCCACTTCTTTACTGACCCCCGGGATCCCGCTGACCACCTGTCCTTCATAATGGTACACGTACTCGCGCCCTGCCGCAAAGTACCCTGAGAAGAAAGGGGGGGGGGAATGTTCAAGAAAATGAGAAGATTGACTGGGACCTGGAGTGCATCAGGCCAACTTTACTTGTTCATAATAGTGTACTCATTGCCGAGAGTACAATTGTTTTCCAGATTACCTACGTTATTCTTCAGGTGAGATGCTGAGAATCTCAGTGAACCCAGCTGCCAGTGCTATAAACTGGTTCCTTGTAATCATTTTGCTGCCAATTAATTCTGATGTTTGTGACACTCGAAAATTGTGACGATCCAGTAAGTACAGAATTCATTCCAGTAATTCTAAGACTAAGGTACATGTATTCAATCATGGACTGGAGGGGGGAAAACCCTAGACTACCCATCAAAGTTTATATACTTTACGAGCACGTGTTGAATTGTTTTGTTTTGACTGTTTGGTTCCCTGAAACTTGGCCTATATTGATGGCACAAGAGTCGTGATTTGGGTATCGGCTAATCAATAAAAGTTGTAGCGCCCTCAACAATTATTCTCCACTGGTGACAAGTTTTCTATTGTTTACGAGGACCGTGCCGGACTAGATTTACCATGCCCACTTGCTTTTATAAATTTGTTGCGCAAAACTCATACTTGACTTACTTTCCTGTGAAGGGACAACAGCGGCATCTGTATTGGAAAAATAGGAAAGGTAAAAATATGAAAGTTTCAGAAAATTATTTATAAATTAGGAGAGTAGGCCTAATTTCCTCATACTAGCTACATTATAAAAACATAGAAAAAGAATTTGTAGGTGATAAAGGGATTTACTCACTCAGGTGCGTAGTTATCGAGACACGGCTATACAGGATTTTCCTTAATCATTTTCAACCTAAAAGAGCCGAGTTATTTCGGACGATCTCACAGCTTGCTCAGCCTACTCATACCCATGTTGGTAATACATAATGCTCATTGTCAAATCCGAAATTCAAGACCACACGCGCTTGCCAGCCCGTGCGCATTGAGCACGCGTCACTGGGAAAGTATACGTTTGGCCTGACTTTAGTTTCGGCAAAACGGGCGCCGCGCGATGACAATACGTCCAATTTTCACAAAATTAATGTGAAAATGACCGCAAGAAACTCTGAGGCTTAACAAGTAAAAAGGTACTGTGACGATATCAAGAAAAAAAGTCGATGGGGCGGATTTAGCCCCTGTTCTTTAGGATTAGTATGAAAGACGGGAATGTTATTCCAAGAGACAGATGCTCTCCCCATCCCCCCTGGGTACTTACGCACAAAAGCGACGCCTACAAGCAACAACAGAAGCTGCCTCATGATTGCGTCAGAGAAGGTAAAACTTGAGAACAGTGAGCAGTCGAGGCAGATTGGGTTATGTGGGAATAGTCGAACACCATCAAACTTTTATATAGGCTCCGTCAAAAGAACACATAAGTGCTGTATGCAAATCAGTGTCGGCTCTGGGTGGTGATTGGCTGTTAAAGCTAAACAATTTGAATAAAATACGGCCGATGCGGTGAAGGTTTCAGGTAAACAACTCCGTCCAGCGCGCCTGCTCACTTACGCAGCCCACAGGATGACAGAGTCATAATTTCTATTTTCGTCCCGAACAGAACACCGAGTGCCCCCGATAAAAGTTCGGTAAATAATCTTTGTGACAATTACCGGTACACGTAGGGAGCCGAAAGAATCGTGACTGAAAAGTTACATTATATCAACCTGGGGGGCACCATCGTTGCCAGTATTGTATGCAAATTTCATTTTTGGGGGGACAACCGAAAGAAATAATTGTGACTGATGCTATAAACTCGAGACAGGGATCTCTGAACAGAAGCAAAATAATTACGCAATGCAGGCATAACAACAGATAACTTACTGTTTAGATGGCGTAGAGGCGGATCCCGGATTTTTTTCAAAGGGGAAGGTCAAATCAAGGACATCAGATGGCACGGATTTCAAGGCGTGCACCCCTTCCTACCGCGAAAATCCCCCCTAAGCTACCTTTTTAAAGTCTATCTGGGTGTTTGGCACATAATTTAGCCTTGAATTGTCATTAACGCAACGGTACTTTGTGTTCTTTTTCACAATGGAACCTTTCAAGATTTTTTTTACACTGGTAAAACTCAGAGAGACATGAAATTTAACATATACACGTTCTTCGGTGTAACTAAGTTAAAAAGTCACGGTCACGATGGAGTCGTTGGGTTTAACACTAAATTACACAAAAATCAAGGATTCAACACTTCAGTGCCATACTTCAAGTGGAACTTTTAATTTAATTTAATTTATGCGTCTGGGTGGTTAAGACGAACTAAGCATTCACCACAACACCAGAGGGAGGAAAAGACATTTAACAGCAAGTGATTTATTCCTCCATTCATGTATTTTGCTCGTTACCGTAACACCACTTACAATGCGGGCACAGCAGGAAAACCCGTCCTTGTGCAATGCAGGAAAACTCCTTGTACCGTCATCATACCACGACCATGCACCTCGAAACCGCAGAAGTTTATAACACGCAATTAGTTTAGGAGCAATCTGTTTCAGTTTCTTTATGCCTGCTAAACAACAATTACTTTGATATAAATTAAATTGTTATGGTTTTTTTTAAGCTAGTTTAACACAACATGTAGAGCATAAGATAGAGTCAACGTTTCGATCCGGAGATCTTCATCAGGACAATTATTTTGTCGTTGCATGTAAATGGACAGTTGGTCTGATTATTCCCCTTGAAGCCTACGTACATGTACACATGTACGCCTCCTCTAAATCTAATGCAGGTTGGTTTTTTTTAACACAACACGATGGGGTACGGAAGTACGGAGCCCCTAAAGGGACATCCCAATTATTTTTTTTATCTCGTGAGCATAGCATTTTGCACACGGCTTATTATCTCGTGTACACGACTCGAGTCGCCTTTCCATATATACTTTTTGGGGGGTGCGTTGCGTACACGACACGTTCATGCGTTTCGCTTTTACGGAAACAAAAATCCATTCCATTAACACAATACACGTGTGCGTTGCGTTCAGCTGTCAAGATCGCCCTGGGAGCGATTTTGACGGATACGCAACGCTTAATTGTCGCAAATATTGATGCGCATAAAGAAAGGTACCTTAAGTCGTGCGAACGAGAAAAATATGCATTGAGCACGAGATGAAAAGAAATTTGAATGTCGCTTTAGGGTCTCCGTACGGAATCGTAAAGGTATCGCCGAGGTGCGCAAGAAACCACAAACAAAATTTACACGCGGTCCTTTTACGCCTCCGTACAAAACAGAGAGCGCTAAATTTTCTTTTCCAAAGAGGAAATAATATATGGCAGAAGTGCGTGCTAATAATTATGACCAAACCCCATTGTCGACACATACATAATGAAGGCGCTGTGGGGACTTGCCACGACCCAAATATTTCTCCTCTGCAAAACAAGCTTACGGGCATGGAGGGGGATAATCAAATTAAGGCCTGATTTTTACTGTGGAACGGTGGAACAGGCAAGGATACTTCAGTTCAGCCTAAAATAGCGTTCACAATGCAAGAAAAGTGAATCTTTTCATCACCATTTCTGTGAACTATACACAAGACAAAGAAGCGTCCTCGCCAGCAATGAAGCACTAGCGTTTTGGAAATTCTCCGAGCGACAATGGCGCTTTGGCGACGAGAAGGAAACTTTAAACAAGGGGTCACGGTGGATCCAGACCTTAATTTGTTGGGCCCGGGGAACTTTAATGTAGTTCACCATCCTCGTTTCCTTTCTTCAAATTCTTGGAGTAGTATAGGTTTCACAATTTGTACTTTGTTTTCTTGTTAAACAGCTTGTTTAAACAGTTATAGTAGAGGCCATTGTGATGGGCGGGGGAAGGAGAAACAAATAAGGGAAAAACGAGATGTGAGGTGATGAAAATCGCTCTTTTGCTTGAAGAAAACCCTCATTTGACCCCTTACTGCTGTTAACCATTTTTGCTGATGAATGCTTTGCATCCAACAGGAAATCTCCCCAGATTCCGAGAAAAGGTTTGCCTCCCAAGCCGAAAACAATTCCCCTCTGATGATTACTTAATAATATAGGCGAAAAATAGAACGAAACGCATTGAGTATATACATCTGCCTCAGTAGCGTATCCACCTTTTGGTGTGTGTGTTGGGGGGGGGGCAAATTCAAAACCAAATGCGACTTCGGGCTTATTTGACATCATGTTGGGGGAGAAAAATATCAAAAAGTCTTTGCTCACGGTCCCGAAATACTAGCTTCTATGTCATATTGTTGTTTCCTTGGGGGTTTGGTGTTAATATTTGATACATAAATATTAAAATAAAAAATTGCTAAATATTAAAATGAAAATAAAAGGGGAAAAAATCCGTCAGGGGACAAGCTACCCTCCCCCCGCAAGATACGCCACGTACAGTACTCTACTTCAAAGGAGTGAACAATCCCGCATACAACCTTGACAAAACCCTTGCTTTTTAAGTTCACTTGAACTGTACAGCATTTCTATACAAACACGGGCACCGCGTGACTTTGACTGACTGAGAAAATCCATCGAGGGGGAAGATCGGACCGTGACCCCCGGCCGCACACACCTGGCTGGCAACGCACCGTGACATTCGGGGCGAGGTTGCACAATGCTTGATAATAATCACATTTCCCACGTAACACTGATGCTGGTCCATCCAGCATTTAACTGGCCATCAACCCTGTAGTGTCCTACTTTCCCCGAACAAATCAAGTTAAATCGAATCAACAAAATTAACATACAATTCAGCGAAAAATCCTCGACTGTCCCAGCATTTCATTTGAATACAATTCGACGTGGAAAAACATCAAAGTAAGAGTGAGAGTTTTTGTGAAAACATGTGTGTTTAAATCTTTGATGCATCTTGTTTTCGCTCTTGTGAGCCAGCTGTTCGACTTTGAAGCGCTGTACTCTTGATCAGCTGATTTACCGCGATTGTTCGTGTTTATGCGCCCAAAGGTCGCAAGAAGGTATCCTTGGGGAATTTCCTGGACTAAGGCCAACGTCGGTTTACGAGAGAGCCAGATTTCTGCATCGCCGCAATTCGATGTCACTGCCACAGACTTGCATGGTGCCAAGTCGGTATTTGGTTTCTACGCGCCACGGACGTGCGTGACGCGCGCGTGCCGCGAACAACAAGATGTTGCCTCGTCTTCAACTTGGGGATGATTGACCATCAAATTGGAGAATTCATTCTCACTTTTGTGTACTTAACAGAATAATGAGAAACGGCTATTTTTTGCACGTATTCTGATGGGTCCAGATTCCAGAGTGGATAAAAATATATGAGCAACCTCATACAGCACGTATTCATCGAGTGTCGTCGATCAAATGTAGACCTATACCGGTTTGAAATGCACCAGTAGGCAAGAGGTCGTGGGTTAGAGTCCCACCCGAGAAAGATTGTAAGTTTTTGGTATCTAGGTCAACACTGCATGAGTACACAGTATTGTGAATCGGGCCTACGTCCGTGTAAGGGCAAATCTTCATAATGAAAAATTAACATCTCCCAGACGCACTAAAGTTTTGGAAAGAGATTTTGATTAAATTAGATTTGATTTATTTGCCTTTCCACATACAATAGCAAAATAATAGAAAGAATAAATGTATATGCATTAATAAGTAGATAACAAGATATGTATATATACATAAAATTAAGATATCAATTAGACATTCCTGCATGAATTTGATACACATTTCAGATGTACATCGATATCATGAACATCGCCCCCTATATAGTGTATATGGTGAGCCCCCCCCCCCTTCAAATGTCCATGGCCGGATAAGTCACCCCCACACCTTTCCCCATCCCCCATCCACTTAATTTCTAGCACAGATTTACACCACTGGAAAGAAAACACACACCATTATTAAGGCAAAGACAGTAAGGCACAAGTGAAACTGGTACGTCATGATCCCAGGCTGAATCGTTTGTCCACCGGGGTGCTGCAAGAGCTAGGATCCCTGACAAAAAAATATGAAGACAGGATGCTCCGGTGCTACCTACTTCCGTGGTTTCAAGTTCAATCTGCCATAAATTCAGTGGTCTTGCCGATCCAAAAAAGGCCCCCATATGAATGATATAGGTCTATATACTATCAAATTCGTCACACTATATAAAAAACACAAACTCCCAGCCAAGCAAGGCACCTCGTTAGTTTATATCAATTCCCAAGAGGCTGAGTACTACCGTGTCTCATGAACAGGCCAAGGCGATTTTATTCTTTTTGCTTGTCAAGTATAAGGGCAATTCAAATGGCAAAAATTTATATTTCCTGGACCCTGGACTGGTAGCAAGAGACCAAAACAACACTCAATCTTCATCCCCGTGGATCCGTGTTGGAAAACTCCCAAGTAAAACTTCCGTAATTTATTGTTTGCAATGTCCCACTCTAATAACTTGTTTTCCCCGTTTACCCCTCACTGTAATGTTTTCCAAGAATACGGCAACCCATCCCCGCTGTGTTTGAGCTGCCGTTTAATCGCTCAAAGATTCCGCTACCATTCTTGTTCTCCCTGCGCTATTGTATGCAAATCACTTTGCCATCAGAGAGGCACGGGTGAAGGGTCTTCAAAAATTCACAATCCATCATCGGCGGGGTGACTGCTGAAAACCCATTCAAGTACATGTACATGTATGCAGTAACTCGCGGCATTGTAGATGTTAAACCAACAAATATTCCTCTAGAACCGCCAAGTCTATCTCTTCAGCCTACGTTGGTAAATGACTAATCTTTCTGATCGAGATAATGGATCGAAACCCTTGAACTACTTTTCGAGGCCGAGTAATCATCAGTGTAGGGTTTGCATTGAGAACCCACGTTAATGTTATCGGTTTCATGTCGACTCGAAAATTAATTATCCATCCAAGATATCATGAGCTTAAGTACAATTCATGTTCGGTTGGTGGAACAACAGCCTTGGGTGCAGAGACCGCTTAGGGGCATTCGTCACGTAACGAGGACACGCGATCAACTTCGTGCTATGATCCTAATGACTTAACCCGGGGATCAAAAAGGCGCAGTAAGCTATAGCTTGGACCACTTCTCGACTCTGTGCATTGCGTAATGGCTATTCTTTGATACAAATAATTGTTGGAAACATTGGGGCAAACAATTGCTTGAGAGTACTGTTCAAAGTCTTCCATTGTTTCTCACTTAGTATCGCCCTGTTTCCGAAACGGGAAGCTACACAACAGCGGTAATCATGGGATTTGTGGTAATGTTTCGGAATTTGAATTAGCAACTGTTTTATTGCTTTATGCCGATAATATAGCCAACTGACTGCCGGGCACATCAAAACAGACGGACAGACCTCTGCATCAGGCAATGACTGCTGATTCGAGGCGTTTTTCCAACCGGTTTGTTTCATGTCTGCGCATCAAATATGAAAAACAAAATCTAACTTTAAGCAGACATTAGCATGAACATCATGAGAAGCAAGGTCGAAGTCGAAAAAGATACCCTCCAACACAATTTCTGATTTTCCCCTTTGCAAACTTCAAAGACAAAGCTACTACATGTACCTTCAGTGCCAGTAGATTGACACGTCGGTAAAATTAATGTCTGACAAATTTCTGACGACTCAGTTGAAACGCAATCGAACCTAGTCGACTGCAATTTTTCCTGCGTATTTGGGGATATCACTGCAGATCACATCAGCTCTAGTAGTTGGTGTTGCATGCAAGCTCAAGTCATTTGACAATGCAATCTCTTGCGCTCAGGTGAGTTCATCAAAAACAAACAACAAACAAACAAAACAAAACTCGGAGAATGTTGAACACCACTCTTATTGATTTATTCCTGTTGATTTCCTTCTCCTGTACTTTGTGACTTTTGTATCAAAACAGAAAGGTGTGATAACAACTCTTGCATCATGTTAGGTGCCCCAATTTCTTTTTTTATCGCGGCAATTTGCCATACAAAACATGAGATCAGCAAAAACGCCTACTTAATAAATAGCACAATACAAGATCTGAAAATGTAACTCCCGCAACTTGTCAAACGTGACTCATAACTTATATCCAAACGAACAACGAAAGTTTGTTATGGATAAAATTATGTACAATGTGTTTTGAGGCAAAGCTTTGGTCAATGGTAAGATATATGTACAACGCATGACAACTTGATACTCCAAGAATAAAGGAGGCACCTCATAAATATGAGCATGCAGGGGCGGATCCTAGATTTTCCCAAAGGGGGGGGGGCGTGAACGAAAGCAGCAATGGTAAAATGCCCCTGCGATCACATAGTACTACAACCCTCAGGGCGTGGGGTACAGACATTTTGGGATTCTAGGCCCTCTGTGGTGCAATTTTAGGCAGTAAGGCACCTCTTTTTCTTCCTCCCTCTTTCTTTATAATGGGGGGCATGTGCCCCCCACGCCCCCACCCTTGGATCCACCCCTGGCATGGGTACATCATGGAATTAAGGGTTTTATTGAGGATACTCTTAGCAATTACCATCACTGTTATACTTGTAAACGTCCAACATTTACAAAGACAAGCCTAAAATGTCAGCTTTATTTCACTAGAAACTGCAAGGCGGAGCCAGCGGGGGGGGGGTGCCGCAGAGTGGAAGAATGCAATGAGATGGAGAATTTGAGAAAACAACTAGGACGCTGGATAGCAAAATCGGGACGGCAGGACTAGATGATAAAAGTTTTGAATATTTGAACAGAAAAATATCCCCAAATCTCCTCGGTGTTTTCATGGCCGGGTCTTATAAATAATGTGACAGTGATTAACTTTGCAACTGGAAAATAAAACCCTGGCTGTGCGCCTGGAAGAAACTTAAGAGGGAAGAACGTTCAAAAGAAAAAAGTCACCAATGTAAATATTACAAAGTCCCTAAAAATAGGGAAAAGAAAAGGAAAAGCAAACAGTTCAATGGCCAAACGCACATTTTGTAAACATCAGAGAGATACAAATTTATCCAAGCCGCTTTGACATTGTGGCATTCATTAACAGCGTTAAAGGTCATCTGTCTGCAGGGATGCAACCCTATAACAATGGTGGCTTTTTAATAACAACAGCTCCCTCTGTAGTCGACGACTGCCAAAAAGCTTTGAGATGCTTTTATTTACAGACGAACGGTGGAATTTCATTTTGACAGTAAGATAACAATCAGCCAGTGATTGTTTTGAGTGAACACTTTACATTTGACTGGCGGTTTGATATTTTTTTCAGAAGTAAAAGAGCAATAAATAAGGCCCAGGGTAGGACAGTACACAACTTAATGACCACATTAAAAATGTAGACAAATCATTCCAAGGAATTTGCTATTTACGAATATGTATAAATAGAAAAAGAGGCACCACTTCTTGCTGTTTATGATGGCACTTAGGCAGGTGTAACAAGACTGACGCATCATTCCAGTCCATCTACAACTGTAATATAAAGAAAGGGGGATAATGCAAGAAAGAGAAACCATCAAATTTACACGTCCACAGACATTTCAGACAGAAGAATAGTTTGCGTCCAAGATTTTTTCTGATGTAATAAAAGCGTGAAGTGAAACAAAGATGTCTGCTGAAACTGAGCTCAACTTTTGAGAAAAGGCTTTGTTCTCTCTGCAATGAAACAGAGCAAAAAAGGAGGAATTCGAGAGGTCACAACTTTCAGACGAGGGAGTCAAACAGTTACGACCTTGACCTTTCTAGTGGAACACACTGGACATCCTACGGTAGGTTTTATTGTTACGCAAATTAAGGAAATAGCCTACGCGGTAGTTGCATTTCAAGAAACTGGACAAACTTACTTCCTGGAATGTTGACCTTATTGGAGCGGAGGACATCTGCCTGGACGGGATTCATATTCGTGTACAGCGTCTCAGGGTTCGACTACACAAACAAAACGTACAAAAACAATACCCAGATTGATTTGGAAATCTTTCGGGAAGACTTGTCTTCTTCATCCAGCCACAAGCTGGAACATTTTGCTAATGTGAACGCCGTTTACGGTCGAGTGATCTTACCATAAAGAGCTGGTACAGTACGTCTCCCATGGCCTCTCGGATATTCTCATCAACAATTGGAAACGTGCTTGCCAAATACTGTCAAGAAAACCAAGATCGCAAACCAAATTGGAGGGGATTATTATGATAAGATGCAGGAATTCCGGTTCCAAAGAAAAGTTTGCCAAATCATACACGGCAAACACACCGATTCGGTGTTCCTGTTGAGTATGCACAAAGTCCAGCATGTTATAAAGTCATTTGGGATACTCAACACGTGCGTGCCCATATCAGCAAAGCTCTATGCCAACTCATATACACTGAACAAGTTCGTGCTGGCGTGAGGTCAGGCACTGGTCGTGGAAGCAGAGGGGTGAGGGGGGCAGTGCCCCTCCCCCAACTTTTTTGACTGGGCAGACTTGGTCCCATTACTTTTGACAGGTCTCATAATGGAATGAGGGCTTAATGGATCAGTCTATAATTGGCTGATGCCTCATGATCTCTTGACTGGCATCTCCACTTTGAAAATGTTTCCGCCGCTGCTGATGTCAGGCGCTTAATAATCCTCGGAATGACCCACTGATTTTTTGTAAAGTTCTTACTTCCAGCGTGATGCTGGCTTGCCGCTGGCTGTCTGCGTGGTCTTCGTTGCCCATAGCAACCATGAGATTATGCACGCATCTCTTCTGGATCAGCTTCTCGGCAATATCCCTCATGTCGTGCACCAGCATGCCGATGACCTTGGCGGCCGCAGCCTGCTGGACGTACACTGGTAGAGGGCGCTTCAGCTCGGGGACGTTTGGGTCTGGAAAGTAAATACCAAATAGGCAAAGGGCTCTGTAAATCACGGCCATTGAATTTAAAGACACTTGACAGGGTGCTCGCTCTGTGTACACAGTCATAAAATTAAATCCTGAAAGTGAGATAATTGGAAAATCTCGTTCTCGTGACTCGCTCTGCGAAAAAGGGTATGAAGGGACACTGTGCTATTTCACACCAAGGGCTTTTGTATGTGGACAGGGTGATTTTGTACTTGTTGGTTTACTGGCTTCTATTATATTAGTTCTTTCACAATTCATACAAGAAACTTAGCTTTTGATGTGGGTATTCTTGGCTGATTTCTATTTCCATTCCCTTTGTTTAAAGGGTTTTATCTCTGAAAGCAATTCTGTTAATGTGTATAACATGATTATACAGAAATCATTATATATCCCCAGATTGCAAAATGCCACAGGGTTCAAACCTACACCAAAATAAAGCTTTTAATGTAACCGATTCAAATGTGTATGTAACTCATTTTTTTTTTTAAATGTCTCGTAATACCGATTTTTGTGGAGCCGGTCATATGTACGTTTACTGTTTCCGGGAAAAGTGCAGTATCCACTGAACAGATTTGATGAGATATATTTTCTGGCTCAGCAAAGCACAATTACTTGATTCTCCCTGGTACAGTAGATAACTCCCAGCAAAGAAACTACCCGTGTCTGTCTTGTTTTGAGTTTGCAAGTTGAAATTCTCTCATTACATACGATGTAAGGAAAGTTAGTTACGAGGGGCTTGAGAGCATGACCAACTGCTCCAGTGTTGTGGCTTTGACAAGAAAGTGATGCTCCAAGTTTGCTGGGGCTAATTGCAAATGTTCAAATGGAACATCCTACATCACAGGGGTAAGAGTTTCTTACCGTCCAATATCTCAGGTCTCTTCATGTGTTTGTCCTTAACGGGGACAAGGGCAGCCACCAGGCTGACCAGCAACTGCTCCTGAACGTCATATGACATCAGGTCTTTGATGAGTTCAATTGCTAGAGGCAAGACATGAAACACCGGCAGGCCCATCAATTGTGGTCTTTAGTATAAGTGCACCTAAATTATGCAACCTCACGTTAAAAAAACGTTCTGAAAAGCCTATGGAGGCGACATGTTTCAGAAACTCACACAAGTGAAATGATGAAAAGTACATCAGTTTCACAACTTTGTGGATTTTCCATGAAATGGCAGGGATTGAAAATCGAACTCCCACGTTATTTCAAACACCAATTAAGTGACACTCCGTCCTTCCCCAATTTTCAGTCACTATCAAAAATTAAAGAGGGCAGCAGAGTACCAAATAAACTGATGAAATCGTACTTCTCCCAGGCTGATCTGCTCCAATCTTCAGTTTTATCCAGAAATGATTGGATCCCCTCCTAAGAACATCCACCCAGGTTTGCCAGTGAAACTTGCTTCCCTGTGCATAGTCTTGAGCTGAATATCAAATCCCCGACTGTGGGCTACCGACATGACATAAAACTTGGACATTAATTGGTTGAGATGTAAGGCAACTTTACCTTCGAATTGAACCTCGAGATGGTACGACTTGAGCAGATCAACCAGTGGATCGACGACATTTGGATTTGCTTGGCGGACAATTTTCTGGAAGCAAAAACAGAAATTTCGCTGTAAAATAAAAATGATTAATGCTAATAAGCAAGCAATGAGTACATGCAGTAAATTCACAGGGACTACTTGGAGTCTTCTGAGACAAGAGTCCTGACAAACGAATCGTTCTTCGACAATATCAGAATAGAAATGACAACAATAGCTGGTTCTGGTAGACAGGATACCACTGATGATCAACGGCCTCTGGACCTCCTTGAAGCTATCCCGGAATACTGTGCAAGGGACTGCTATCAAAATGGATTCCTTATGGCAGAAACACTATCCCTGCAAGTTATATACATCTGGGGATTCTCAACAGTAGCTTGGCCACTGCACTACACCAAGCAAACTCACCTGAACAATGCGTAACGTTTGAGCAGCCATCTGCTGAGCCTTGGGGGAGCTGGAGGGTAGGAGGGCGATCAGTCCCTTGTAGACCTGCATCTCAAACTTGGGGTTACCCTGGGCCAGGGTCTGTAGCATGTGACGGGCGCACTCCTGGGTCTCCTCCGACTTGGAGCGGGCCAGGCATTCCGCTACTGCTCGGATGCCTTGTACGGGTCAAAATTGTGACATTCAATCAATTCATGCAAAGGAACTTTCCCGAAACCCCTAATAAATTCCTCCACTGTGCTGGACTTTAAAACACTTTCTTGGTTTGGCAACTTTCAACGGGCATCAACTTTCAAGGGACATAAACTTTGGGATCCTTCTGCCTGTGCGCGATGAGAGTGGTTCATCTTAGCATCTGACTCTAACGTAGCTAGGAAGAACCAGCTCTACGGCTCATGGCAACGGGGGATTTGCTAGTAAGTGGGGGGCCATCGGCCACAACCATGTGAAATTGCGGACACAGGGGCGGCATCACCTGCAAATTATCCTGTGAACATACCATAACTCTCACAGATGAGCTCCTTGTATTTGCGTCCGGCGTTGGCGATGCACATGAGAAGATGCAGGGCCTGCGTCTTGTCCTCCTCCTTGGCCTGCTTCAGGCCCAGTATCTCCAGCACTGTCAGGACTCCGCCCACCTCCAGGAACTCAGCCAGAAACTTGTGTCTGCAAACGGGCAAAAGAAGACATGAGAACAGAACGGTCCTCTGGTGGTCGACGTAGGAAATGTCTACGGAAGGAAGGCTCCACTTTCGTGCCTTCTTTCTTTTTGCGCACTTGGTGCATTTTTCTCGTACGAAGTGAGCACTGGGAGACGTACGATAACCAAGGTTGGTGCACAAATGACCATTCAATTGCTGGATGATACTCGTAAGAATTAGCTCGGTGGGCTGACTTGCACTGGGCTGGTATACCACCCAGTGTAGACACTTCTACCCTGTCTATATGCGAATGGGCCATGCAATGGTCAATCAAATCAGTTCCCTCAACAAACCAATACTGGCCGTGTACAACATTTTCAGGTTCAACGTATAGTCTACCACCACGAGTTTATTTCGCCACCCGCCCCGTTGAACATATAGAGTCAGACTTTGCTTACACATCCTCCATGGAACTGCACTAAATGAAAAACATCTCACTCAATCAAAATATCCTTGTAGCCCGGTAACAGAATAAACCCAAGAAATCTACTAACATGGTAAGGGTTGTGGAAAAACTTCTCATCAGTTCATCTATAAGATCTGTCAACTGGTGTAGGTCTTTGACAGAGCACAACAAAGAACCAATAACAACTGTAACATACCATAGTGAGGAATTCCCTAACAAAAAGCGAGGAACTTACCCACTTGACGCAGAGAGAAATATCGTCAGAGCTTGTAGCTGTTGGCTAAGACATGTTCCTACCATGTAGCTACAGAGTACCAAGTTAAAGGAAATCTGGACATCATTGTACTTTTTGTCCATCCTTTTTATGACCATATATTGATTTATTCCTCCAATCAAATGTTTGACCATTCTGACCAAAAGTAATACAATCAAAAGGTAACCTTCTCGCATAAAAGAGAAGATATAACACTTTCAAGGGAATAGTATAATGTTGTCTACGCCTTTGGAATAATCTGAAACACAGATGTGGATCCGCACAGTGATGGTCTTGCATCTAGATATGTAACCACTGGCATGCCTTTCTATGTGGATCCACACAGTGATGGTCCTCTACCTAAATATGTTATATTTTAATATATGTATTTAATTTTTATTTTATTTAATATTGTTTTGTTTTAGTTTGTTTTATTTTAGAATAATTTGTACTAGTTGACAACATGAAAACAAATCTAGTTGTCCGATGTCTCTCTGGGTGTACCATTGGCATGTGATGTAGATCCATTTTTTTTCACATTTGAAGTAAAAGACAGTTGCCAGATTGGATAGATGGATAAATAAGTCATGGCCAAGGATACGTGAGTCTCAACCAGGCTGTTAGGCGAGCCAGGAACAAGCTTGCTGCTTGGGCAAAATCGGCCTCCAGCTCTGGCCCAGTTTTATTCTGACTGGTCTGAATGAAGTCGTTCAGGATCTTGAGTCGCACCGCAGTGGAGCCCTTGTCCCATTCCCGGAGCATGGCCATGATGCTACTTATGGCAGTCTGAGCTTTGGCCATGGTTAAAAAGCTATTAAAAAAAAAGCACTACTTCAGACGGAAAGGTTAAGAAGAAAGGTTAAGATAAAAATTGAATTTCTTTTAAGAACAAAGAAGAGTTTACAAAGTTGCCCTGACACATGTAATGGGAAGAAGCTGTTGAACAACATTTTTAAAAACATAAAAAGGTGGACATCAAATCAGTCCGAGTTACTAGGACCCTACGAATAGCCTCTTTTATACATTTGGCTACTCCTAAACTAATCCTAAATATTGTAGATGTGAGTCCCCTTCTGTAGTACTTCCAGAACTGTAAGGTTTATGCAAACTAAGAGGCGATTCATGTATTCGTGGACTAGAACGTAACACTTCAGCAGCTAAGGGCTCGGACCATGCTTGGACGAGGCCGCGAGAACGAAGCGTTAACTCAGTTACTCAAGCTTTCAACTAGTTTCACGGACACTTGTGACTTGGGCATGTTGGGCCTACCGCACAATTTCGCAAAATAGTCTCAGCCACTTACCGTACAATTTCCCACAAAGAGAGCAGCACAACTAAAAACGTTTTGAACTTTAAAATGAATTCATACAATGCATTAATTTCTTCCCGACAAACATGACGAAAAACACGTAATTTTTCAAAAAACGCTATCCACTACATTTACAACCAACGGTAAACCATGGCTAAAAGTTGTTGACATGTTGCTAGTGAGCACGTACTCGATCATCATGATATTCCGTCCGGCGGTCAGGTCAAACATAGGTCAATTATGCTTGGCTGGTGTACATGCTGATAGGGGATGTTGCTTTTGAGAAAATTAAAATCTTATGAAATATCTTTTATACACATTGTTGCAACTATGGATTAAAAATTTAAGATAAAGATGGTGGCAATGAGACAGTATGATTTATGTATGAAATCTTGAAAAAGCTACTTTCGTTAGAGACGACAGACGCTTCACCATCTATGCCCCTATTATATTAAAATGGAGTCAGCCGATCGCGGCTGTGGGTGCGGGTACGGGTACGGGGTGCAAATGTACGATGGCCGATCACGGCATATCAGTAGGAGTAATTCCTCTCACGTTCAAAATTAAATGAAACATTGTTTGAGTCGCTATACCTCTCCGAAATTTATAAAATACATGTAAAAGCCTGAACAAATGGGAAACAAGTGCGCTGATTATTATCGATAAGAAACACAGACCAGGACGTCTAGAAGTTAATAACAATTAAGACTCTTTGGCAAATGAATGATGAGGGTGCTATAATTAATGTGTGTGAATTGGACTGTTACGGGAATAACAACATAATCTAAACAATTTGTGTTTTTCTTTTCCATTTACAAACAAACATTCATTTCTGTGTTATGGAAAGTTATGTTTTGCAAAAAGTTCCAGTGTCTCCGGCTTTGTAAGCCATCTAGCTAGTTTTTCCGGCTGTTAAAAAAAAATCTCACGAGTTTTCCGTGTTTTCCTGTAAAACCCTGATGAGGTTGGTGTGTGATCCTGTTCCAAGAAGTGTTCTTGTGTCATGGTCCCGCCGTTCGAACGCGAGAACAAGAAACTCGTGTCAAGAACAGGCTACCTGAACTCAACTACATCATCAAATAAACTGATTTTTAAAACAGAAGTGCAGTCTTTGTAAACGTCTTTTTTAATTGGAAAATACGAGGCGATATCATTATGATGTAATAACTGATGTTTTATTGTTGTAATAATCATTCCGCGGGTCATTGAGTTTCACTTTATACTTGATTTTCAACTGAAATTGTGTGAATAACAATAGTGGCCAATATTTCTTCATGACGTTGGTAGGTGATGTTGAAGAAGTGATTTTTAAAAATTGATTTAAATTTTTTTTAGAGAAATTCGCCTTGAGTTAGCCTTGGTCAAAGCATTCGTCACTTAATTCATTATAACTGCACCGCGCGGCGTACCAGCTTGTCAGCTACATTTGTCACCACCTGCCCGGTTGTTTTTCGTGAAGAGTGCAGTCCACTAATTCAAGTAAGAATTTCTGGCCAGCCATTAGCATTAAAAGTGCCCCACAGCATCTTTTGAAAAGGAGATTGTATTGCCCCAAAAATGGTGAAATTAGGCTATGTCAATCTTTGCCTGAATCAGCTCCCCGGGTCTGTGGGCTTTCATCTGAGAGCTAATGGCGAAAAAAATACGGTTGAAAAACGGTCCTTAGTTGAGGGTTGTCAACTAAACAACCAAGCAGACTTAGGAAAATCACTTTTTATGGGGTAATTTTGTTTTGGGGAATAACTGAAAATGTCATCCGTTAACCCACAGAAAATTGAAAAGAAAGTGAAAGACTAGGGACCATACAATAATTAAACTTGTGTTTCAGATAAAGAGATTAGCCTCAGTTTTTTTTCACTGGAAATTCAAGATTATGGCCAGAAGATCACTTTTTGTTTCAATGTGATGGGGGTTAGCCAAAATATTCGCCTTTCCTCGAAGATACCCCCAAAATAGTAGTAAAACTATGCGCTCAGTTTTGAATGCAGCTGTCCGCCTCTATCCAAAATAGGCCTGCAATTTTGGGCTTTTTGAGAAAGAAATATCCCGAACTGGAAACTACCAGTCCTAAATTCGCCATTTATAGGAATATTTCTGTGATCCCTCCCGACTATGGCATATCTTATCGTAAAAAACCCGTGGGATCTAAGAATAGTAATAAGCTCGCGCGCAGAAATCCACTAATAAAGTGGAATGTTCCATTGGGCCATGGCATTTGGTCATAAAAAATGGTATCATGGCTTGAACTTAACCCGTCTCTAAGGGCGCCCCCTATTTCCACCAGTAATGAGGCGAAGGCGAGAGCACGATGTGACGTCACGATGGCAAGACATAATGGCTTAAACTCAGTTACGCGATGCAATTTAGGGAGTTGTTGCTGTTGCTTCTTTTAACGGCGCTTTCAGCTACTCAGACCATTTGTGCCAATAACAGTTACGTTTATCCATAACCTTTATTAATCAGCATCACATTACGGAGTTAGGAAAACGGTCCAGTTTTAGAGGCGGAAGGAAACTGGAGTACCCAGAGAAGGCCTGCAAGAGCGGGTAGGGACTGGAAACCAAATGCACTTGAAGCCTGGGCCAAGCCAGGACTCAAACCCAGGCCTGATTGGTGCAAAGCGAAGAAAAAAAACGCTACGTCTGGTAACCCGCTCCCTCTCAGCGGGGAGGCAAATAAAACGCAAATACCTACCCTGGCTAAGCCTTTGCTGACCACAGTCTGGCATTTTATTTTCCAATGACTGTCATCGATAAATCATTCTACGGCATTTTATTTTAAATAAGTTATTATTGTTTTAAGTTTTAGATAAATGAATTATTTATGATTAAGTTGTTTTCGGTAACGAAGAAGAAAAGGCAAAAATAATATGCTATCAGCTCCTGTGCATTAAGCGGGCATCGTTTCCTCACTTACATACAACCGGCAGGATTATTCTGCCGGATTTGTTACGGTACCCGCAACCGGTCCCTATACGTTCAGAGGACGTCTGTATGAAGATGTGGGGAGACTACGTACGGTACGGGACGGGAACAGTCTAGTCTTTGACGCGGATCGGAGCACGACTGGAAAACTTCGTACCAGCTATCTTTCTTTCGCCGGTGAGGGCGCACTTAAACTTGCACAGCAAGTTTAAGTGACAGAAAACTTGGCACTCCTAACCTGATGCAAGACTTGTTATTACACCATTCTGTTTCTATACATATCACAAAGTGCAAGAGACACTTCAACAGAAAGTTATTAAGAGCGGTGTTTAGCATTCTTTAGTTTGGGGGACAATAGAGGAACCTCGCCTGAGAAAGCATTGTCCAGTGAAGTTTAGGTTGAATACTTCGAAACATCAACTGGCTGGTCTGTTTCCAATGATACCGGCTCCAAAATTTAAGTATGCACGGAAATTTATTCCAACCGAATAGGTCCGAGTGCAGTTCAAGCCTTGAGAAATTTGTTGAACATTTTACCAATTTTGACTGGGGGAATTTATAAATTTAGGGGGTAAGCATCATGAGCTTTCTTGGGGGGGGAATTTTGGTCAGACTCCTCATCCAGCAAGGACAAATCCTGGGTGCGGCTTGCATCAGGCACGCAGTGTTTGTTGGTATTACTGGGTTATTGTTTCGGCTTAGACCTTGTTTCTGGTCACTCATGCTGGACACACGAGGGTCTGGTTTAAATTTCCGCCAAATTGTTGATTGGAGGGTAATTCGTCCTCTTACAGACCTAATAACCGTAGTTTTTTTTAAATGTAATGCGCAGAAGAGAAAAAAACAGTCGGAGGAAAACACCGTGGAGACCAAATTCTTGTCAATGCTTGATGTTCTGGTCATCTGTGCTGCAAATTTCTTGATATCCAGATTTTTTTTAATAGTAAATTCAAATCCTGAAGCGATGAGCACAGATTTCGCTAACGCAGTTTTGAAACCTTTATTTCGTCAACGGGGTAATTTTGGCAGTGAGCTACGATGGAAGACTGTGAACAGTACTTTCCAGCAGTATTTTATCCTAAATAACAATAATTTTTTGTGTGTGTTTGGATGAGAGGACATGCAAGCCAGCACGCCATTCGCGCGATCGTAACGGCTATTTCAACACAAAAGCGTACGTGACTTTTTTATGCCTATCTGAAGTAACAGGGATCACAGTGAAGGACTTATAGGGAATGTTCCTGCGGTCATTCCACCCAAGGCTGTTGTTCCACCAAACAAACATGAACTTTGCATGAGTTGATGACTTCATGAGAGGATAATTTATTTTCATACAGAAGTTTATAGCTGATAAGAGGATGTGCTCCCTCTCAGCAAAAGTTTTACACGAACAATAATTGATGACTCAGCCTCGAAAAGTGTTTTGATCTTATTTCATGTTTCCTATTAGCACGATCTTTTGTTCAGTTGTTTGCGATACGGTTGCTGTTTTAGAATCATCGCTTGTTTGAGGCTCGATGTTATTTTGTCCGTGTACTGGAGCACGGGTTTATTCATATAGTCAGTGGTCTTTGAACTTGGGAGACTTGGATATTGAAATTGGATATCACAGCCTCAAAAAGCAAAATGACCTGATGATATGCACACGCGCGCATGCTAACTGCTCTAAACTCATGCCTCAAGGCCGTTTTATACTTCAGGACGAGATGTTACAAAACATTTGCAGCGATTCCATTTAAGTCAAAATCACAATTACGTTTATGGCGTTCGCTTTCGTGCAAGGTATGTACCGGCTCCAAAGCGGCAATGTAATGTAAATTAAGTCGCCAACATTAAAAAAGGCAAAAACAAAAGAAAACATCGACACCCGACCATTCTAGACCGATGAACTTACAATTTCCAAGGCGAGAATATTTATCACCCTGTCGTTTACAATGGTGCATTGTTGGCCGACGGATTTTCAGTATTCACCCACGAAAAATGTATATACGTCAGTGGCGTACTCGTCTCCGGATATTTCGTGGATGTATGGGTGTGTGTGTGGGGGGGTCTAGGACCAGAACTTATCCCCCCAGCTCTTGATGCTCAAGCTCCTCCTCTCCCTCCCCGATTGCGCCACAGGGGACTGGTATGTAGGGCCTACCACTAGAACTAGTGGTTTGAAATGGTGGTGTAATGTATCATTGTTTTTCAGAAAGAAAGAAGAAAACAGCGGGGGGGGGGCTCATGCCCCAAGGCCCCCCTCCCCAGGCGTGCCACTGATACATGTTGTTACATTTTGAGACACCCCATCCACAGTTTACTGATGTCCTGGCGATTTGCATGCAAATCACAGTACCAGGATCATTTTTGAATGATTAACCGGCGGCTGAAAGCATAGCAGCGTTCGATCTTCTCGGAATAATATCGTGAGTGGAAAATGGGGGAACACGAGTTTGAGGGGAACACTGTATGTTATTTGTCGTGCCATGGAGGTATCCCAACAGGAGGTCGAGGGTTAATTGTTTTGGTCTCTAGCTACCACCAGGAGGTCGAGGGTTAATTGTTTTGGTCTCTAGCTACCACCAGTCCAGGGTCTAGGCCAGGGTCAAGCTGGGATTGTTGTTTATGATCAGTGTATGGCCGTGCTCCGGGAAAATCTATTCCAATGTGTCCTTACTCGCCAACCCCAAAGAATCACCTTAACCTGCTCGTAAGCAATTATAGTTGGTCAGTTACTGGGAATTGATATGAACGAGGTTGCTTTGCTTGGCTGGGAGTTTGTGTGGTTTTAGTGTGAAGCATTCGATATTATATGGAAGTATGAACATTTTCTTCAGGACCATTTCCCACTGACCGGCCCACTGAACCACTTGGAGAACGATCAAGGTGAACTGGGTCTTTCATGGGACGAGCCTGGTTCCCCGTCCCTTTCAAATCTCCGTACGCTGTGTACACGGACGACCCCGTTTGATTTGTGTACTGTCCTTGAATTTGGATCCATATCAGACATTGCACGCTTCATTCACTGTGCAGATGTCAATTTCTTCATGTTCTGCAAAATCACATCTCTAGCGCTCATAAAACACACACNCGTCAACTTGTGCAACTAGGCAGTTTGCGAAAAAAAACCCCACTGCGGTGTAAACTTTTGTCCAATCAGTTTCACTTCGTAATCAAACTCGCAGGTATCACTGGCTCCAAGACTATAGAGCAATGCGAACATCCGTGCAGAAATGTGTGCACCGACACGTGTACGAGTGTATCTTGGCGCTGGTTGGTGGCATTGGCCTCGATTTATTTGCCAAGTTAGAGATTGCGACTAAACAGAAATCTGGTCTACGTATAATCCGGTCGCACGAGGATACCCTCGTGAGACTATGAGGTTATTAAACATTAACAATTGCAGTAAACGTCAGGTGATCGTGGATTCAGAGCGCTTCAAGGTCGTTTCCTTTCTGTTTCACAAAAGACAGGCCAAGATGTGTTAAACACCCTTATTGTTGACAAAAACTTTTCACCTATTTTTACGTCGAATTGTATTCAAATGAAATCCCGTGTCAATTGGGTTTTTCGCTGAACTTCGTGTTAATACTGTTTGATTTGTTTGGGAAAGAGTGGTACACTACTGGCCTGATGGCTAGGTGAATAGTGGATTCGTGGCATTCTAACTCCTACTAGATCGTTGCACTTTCTTCATTCAAACTCATGCCCACGCCTGTGTTGGTATTACAACTGCTGGTGAAATTCCAAGAAGGATGTTTCTCTTGGTCGAGGTTGTTAGAGTGATTTTTCATCGTGTTGGGATAGATGGGGGGGATCTTCCTCAATTGTACGATTCAAGACGCTGCGGTTCCCATCACAAGCCAACATCAATTAAAACATCGGACACGCTATTGTCAAAGTATTTTCGCTGTGTTGTGTTTTGCTATAGTAACAATTAATACATATTATTGAGTTTAATTTGATAACAATTAATAAATATTATTGAGTTTAATTTGATATTATTACTTTAGTACTACAATTCGTGGTGTGGTTCGTTTTTTGTTTTTTATTTTTTTATGTAAACTTTTTTGGCAATATGGCTCACCAAGGACAGTGTGCACTGGCAGCAACGCGTGCCTATTTCTAAACGTGTCAAAGGCCGTGGATTTTAATCTTGCATTCATTTTATCTTCGCATATAATTTGCTGTTCAAATATGGCTGCAATTTTGACATTTTATCGTCATCGGGTTCAGTGTTTATTTTAATACCGCAAACACGATAAGCCTGACAGCACTTAGACCGAAAGGTGTAACTGTAGGAGATATTTTGGGTCGAAGAATGGAAAAAGATCTCAATTTTGAAAGTTCGTATTGACATCGTCTGAATTCAATCCTGAGAATGCATCCTGTCATGGGACGTCCAGTTTCTTTTTTGGGGGGGGGCTATAGTTATCTATACAGAGCCTAAAACAAACGCAACAATTTTTAGTTTTAATTTTGTGGCGACTGTATTAGACTGTATTAGTTTTACACCAAAATAACTCTGTATATCAACAGTGGAAATAACATCTTTACGTCTCCATTTTGTTATGTTGTCAAGTTTAGCGTTCGTGTTTTGTATACAGGGAACGAGTATTAGGCCTACCAATCCCATTTTGCAAAATTTGTTTCAAGGCCTGCAACTCGAGGAAAGTATAATTAAATGGAATTTTGACTCAGTAACCCCCTTAAGCTCCTTCAAATTTCTTGCGCAATTGATTCGGTTATCTATACTCTGCGTACAAACTATTTTCATATATTTCACAGCATGATTTGACTGCTGTTAGCCTGCACAGCGCTCAGGAATCCCCGCTTTGATTTTACAGCATCGATCACCATACTCCTTCTGGTACTCAGAAAGAACAAATTTGCATACAATACGGACAGCAGTGGTCCCCCCTAAAATAAAAAGCTTGTTATTCAATTCCAGTTGTTTCGGCCCCTGTATATCAGTTGGCCCAAAGATTATTTGCTAGCCTCTGATCAGGGGCACTCGGTGTTGCGATTGGTATAACGAAACACGACACCATGGGAGCTATCTAGGTGGGCGGGTACGCTAGGTTTACCTGAAACCTTCATGCTCCACCGTATTTCATTTGTCAATTGTTCAGCTTTAGCAGCCAATCACGGCCCAGAACCAACGCTAATTTGCGTACACCGGTGTTCTTTTGACGGAGTTCGTATATAAGTTGATAGTGTCCGACTTTTTTGGCATAACCCAATCTGCCTCAACTGCTAATTGTTCTCAAGTTTTACCTTCTCTGACGCAATCATGAGGCAGCTTCTGTTGCTGCTTGTAGGCGTCGCTTTTGCACGTAAGTACTACTTTTCTTAGGAATTTGGATTAACAGACCTGGTTTTCTATGGTCTATTGCTCATTCGGAGTTCAAAGTTGGTCTTTTCGAAAATGAACATTAAGGAGGAAGGAAAGAATTTCAGAACGGCAGATAGTCGGTCAGTAAATTGGCATAATGTGGTATACGGCGTTTAACACACGTATCGAGCATAATAGGTTTACATTTAGCGCCCTAGATGCAGCCTCCAACAGTTTACGTCCTCATAGGTTAATATACATTTCCCAGATTAAAAGGTTGCGGTGCACTCTTTCGCAAGCGGCATAGTTTACAAACATTCAGTTTTACGAATGTATATAAGTACAACGGCAAGAATAACTCGATGAGGTGACAGATTAAAAGTATACTTTTCCACGAGATGGAGCGCAGAAGAATGGAACGTTCCATCTGTCACTGACAATTTTTTTTCTGTATCAGCCTTGCACTGGACCAAGAGAAGGCACAATTTTATTAGGAGAGGGAGTATTCATTGGTCGGAACTGAACTTAACTGGTTCACGAACGACTTGGAAATGCACGCGTTGCGGTCAAATCGCTACCAATGAAAGTCCTATAAAAACCGCACCTCAACAACTTCGCCAGAAGGAATCCCTCCCTCCAGAAGGAATCCTTCCTTTACCTACAGTTATTCAGACATTTTCTTCCGACTGTGAAAAATTAAACGCTCTATTTACTGTGGAAGTAACTTTCTCTTAGACAAGATTGATAGAAATCAGATGACGAGGATTTATCAAAACTCTGATGTAATGTGCATAAGTTCACGTATCGCAGTAGTGCGTGAGGCAGTACATTCGTGGTTCAGGAGTCGACAGTCGTTGGTACAGATTGAATGGATCAATTTAGACCAATGACGTTCGTGTTACAGCACTAAAGAAAATAGGGCGCAGTATCTTTTTGTGGTTCTATTTGTACTCTAAATTTAAAAATGGGAAACAAAAGTTCCATTTTGGAATTCTTATATTTCAACACTTGAGCTAGACGATTACTTTTTGTCACAATACATATTATTATATTTAGGTCTCTTACGTGTCGAGAGCTTTTCTGCAACTTTGTCATTTGTTCACGTAAGTCCAACTGTTTTCTGCACCCAGACAGAACACTTCATTTGCATACAAAAGGTTTTGAAACGTTTCGAACTGTTCAAAAGGTGCATTGCGTATAAACCAAAGGTCGGACACTCACCGCAGTTTATCAACAAAAATTAATCTGAAGTCTTTGGCCCAGGTGATCATACCATACCATAATCGTCCTTGTTGTTCTCATTATCAGCTCTTCAAAGTCTAGTATTTACAGAAACTTGTAGGACTAGGAATGACCCTGATCAAAGCAAACACACACGACAATTACACGGGCATATGCATTTCAGACAAAAAAAGATTAAAAAGATAAAGATTTTTCTCCCTTTACCGGCAACACGAGTGGGGCGAAGGCGCAGTTTTGTCTTCTATATATCAAACCACATATATTTAGCGCCTGGCAGTTTTTGACATGCCTTTTCTAAGGGCCAGTTGTTTGAGTTTTCTTTTCAATTCTCCTCTCTTTAGTTCTCTCAACATCATGCACTTAGAGACCTGACACGTCTGTACGGGGTTATTGCGACTTATTACATACATATCCCGTTTCTCACATTATCGGATACCAGTCGAACGATGATTGCTCTCGGAACATGCATTACGCAACGCCTAAACAAATCCGCATTGTCTGATTGGTGGATCGTTGATCACGTGCTTTGAGTTACTTAATTCTGAACGAACGGTATACGGCCGTGCGGCGTGATAACAGGAGTTCCATTCTGCTTCTAAATCGAAGTTTTTGTCGGTCACGCAGAATTTGTGTACATGATGATGAAGGAAACGTATCTCGGTCGGGAGTTATTCCAATCCAATTGATTTTCCCCTCTTTCTGGATTCATTCAGCTACTGTAGAGGAAAAAAATGAATGTTAAACTTTCGTGTTACCACGAAAAGAATTTCAAAGGTTGACATAATGTTCCTTGCACCGAAACAATTTAAAGTAATGTACTTCCCTCCGTAAAATTTCCGTCTTAAGTTCGCCTGCACTGTAATATACCTTCCGTAAACAATGACAAAAGAATGGATTATTTTCAGAGAAATTATATGAGCCCGAAACAATTATTTTCATTCAACCGTTTTCGGGCAAAAGGTTATGAAAAGTTGCATTTTCTTTTGGACAGAAATTTTTTTCAGAGTTTGCGAAGTAGATGTCAGCTACTGGTTACGCAGTATACTGTAGGCATGCCTCCCATTTATTAACTGATGACATCATCTTGACCGCACTACTGCGAATTTACCCTTACAACCTAAGTCTACACCCCTTGGTGCCCCCGTGTTAAATTTCAAAATTGTCACAACTTTATGGTCACGGTTCGTTTGCTTTCGGTACCCCTACCCCCGTGAGCATGCGTGTAACCCCTGGTGCCCCCTTGGAAATGTCATAATATACTCTTGCTAGGTAGTGGCCAGAGTATGATGGTGTGTGGATTCAGGCGGCAAAGCTTGTCGAGATTGAATGGTCTCGTCAATGGTCTACCTTATCGCGCAGCTGGAGATAAATTTAATGCTTGGAAATAATGCGAGGAAATCATAATCCAGAATGCAAAGTGTTTTGGTGTCGGCTGGTCTAGTGACACAGCTGGGGGCGCAGTTCCCCCGCCCCCTCATGAGAAGAGCCCGACTATGTACCCAAGGATGGCAAGGGGAGCACCCCCACCCCCCTTCACCGGATCTTGTGCCGTCGCCCCTCTAAGAAGGGCATCATTACAACACTTGTCAGTGTTTAGAGAATATTTTTCGTGGAATTTTAGTGATCTAAAAGAGCAAAATAATTCTTTTCCGAGCTGGGGGAAAGAGGGAGAGCTTGTCAAAATTTACTGATCATTTTCTAAGTCTGTTATCATTTTACTTTTTGTATTTTCTTCCCATATAGGTGCCGCTGTTGTCCCTTCACAGGAAAGTGAGTCAAGTATGAGTTTTGCGTACCGGTAACACGTTCATAAATATGTTTATATCATGTTGTCAAGGCCGTTTGCGGCCCGTCTCGAGGTTCTCATCAAAGGAAAACTTAATGATTTAAGAGTACAGTTGAGGGCGCTATAACTTCTTATTGATAGGCAGTTGCCAAATCATTATTGCGTGCTACCAATTGGGCACATTTTGGGGAACCAACCAGTCATATTGGACGCCTGTTCGTTTCTAGGTCCA